GGGTTTTTTTTTCCTATAGAGCACTCTTTAAATGACCTGGCTGTTCATTTAAGTTAACTTAAAAGTTAACAGAGAGCAGCCAAATTGCAAATGAATACCACATAAATTTTGTGGGAGAGGGAAACAGGACCAGTATTTTTAAACGTAAGATTAAACAGATTTATGCCTCTCCATTTGGTGATTATTTTCTACAGAATAACATTCTCAAAACAGTACTACATAAAACAACACATATACATACCTATAGGAAAGCAGCTACGTCACAGTTAAGCTGTTTTACGGAGGTTAACCTATTTTAAAGTTATCGAGAATTTTCTTGACAAACATGTGCTTCCAAAACAGGTCAGACACTGCTTATTCTCCTGTTAATTCTTGTAAGACGCATGGTTTTTCTACCACAACTCGCACACCAGACTCTCACAGGGAAATTTACCAGCATTGAGCGTTTCAGCAAGCAGATGCAGATCCTTATGGCTCCCCCACCAAAGTATACACAAAGGGACCCAAGCACAGTAAGAAAAATGGAATAACTTCCCTTAAAATGCCCACATAGAATCCCATTGTCCGAAGCCAATGTTGTCCACTGGAGAGCAGATATTATAGAAAGAATGAACAAAAGCAGAATTTTAGATAGAAATAAGTCAATAAGATTAAAGATTTAATAAAGAGTCACCAGAAGCCCAAAAACATGTTTGAAATTCAAGAGAGCTTACTTTGTAGATTTTTCTAAGTACTCCCATTTGTTGGTGGAGTCCTGGTGTGGCGCTGTGTGCTAATGTGTGAGACTGTAAAGTCATTTGAACTGCAAGGTCAGTGGTTCAAGCTCACCAGCTCCTTCTTGGAAACTCTACATAGGGTAGTTATGGGTCAGAAATGCCTGGACAGCACTTAACAACAACAACAACCTCCCCATAGATCCTGCCAGCAAGAATCTTTGAATCCTCGTTTTCAAAGATAGAAATATTATGCATACTCTTTAAGTCTTAAACAAAAGTAAATACATGACAAAGACAAACATAGATTACCCAGGTGAGGGAAATCATAGCTGCCATGATGAGTTTACAAAAATGTGTCTCCACATGGTGACCTTTTATAGGGAACAAAGGACTGTCTTCCCACAGTCATGATAGCAGCAGCCAGGCCTGTGGAGAGCCAGGAGGAGACTATCCCAGATAGGAAAGTTCCCAGTCTCTCAGGCTCTCCTTATATGCCATCACAACTAGGTGACCATTAGGATGTTTCCAAGAAGGTTCCTGTGCGGGAGGTGGCCTAAAACCTGATTTTCAACATACTGTTTCTAACTCCAGCAGTTCAGCTACCAGTGAACAGGAAAAGGTAAAAACATTCACTGCCCTCTCTACCCAAAAGACAAGCTAACATGTTAGTCAGGTTACTAAGTGGGATCAATCCTCTCTGGCCAGGAGTCAAACTGGAATGTTAATCAGGTAATTGAGTGGGACCAGTCCTCTGGTTTCCCTCCTGTATTCAAACAGGTCCCCAACCCAATTCTGACCCCATATACGTCTGCACTGCCTTGTATTTGGGGCTCAGAACCTGGAGAAGCTAGGTCCTCTGAGCCAGCCGGCTTAATAAAATCTGAAACTGTACTTTTCTTCTCCGAGTGGCCTCCGTTTCTCCAACAATGGATTAAGAGCTGCTAAGACACTCTCTAAGGAGCTCTGGTAGCGTAGTGGTTACGACTTGGGCTGCGAAACTTAAGGTCAGCGGTTCGAAACTACCAGCCGTTCCGTGGGAGAAAGATGAGGCTTCTACTCCCGTCAAGATTTACACCTTCGGAAACCCTGTACAGGGTCGCTATGGGTCGGAACCGACTCGACGGCACTTAACAACAACAAGACACTCTCGAATCTGTAAAACTGCTATAACATCAGAGGTGCATGAGATAGTCAAGAAAAATTGGCATCTGACCACTTAAACCTAGGCACAAAATGGAATTAAGCTCTGCTAGGCTGGAATCTTACACACCAACCATTAAAATCAGTGATGATGAAACTGCAGAATTCTATCAACTTCTTTAGTCTGAAATTGTTCAAATAATCAAGAGGTATTGATAATTGCTGGTGATTGGAATGCAAAGGTTGGAAACAAAGAGGGAAGTATCAATAGATTGAAAATATGGCCTTGGTGACAGAAATTATGCTGGAGATCGTATGATAGAATTTTGGAAGACCAATGTCTTATTCATTGCAAATACCATTTTTAAACAGCATAAAAACAATTATACACATGGACCTAACTAGACAGAATATGCAGGAATTTAATTGATTACAACGGTGGGAAGAGATGGTGGAAATGCTCCACACCATTAACAAAACAAGACCAGGTGCAGACTGTGGAACAGACCATCTGTTGCTCATATGCGAGTTCAGGCTGAAAATGAAGACAATTAAAATCACCTGAGAATCAAACTATGACCTTGAGCATATCCCACCTGAATGTAGAGGCCTTCCCAAGAACAGGTTTGATACATTAAACACTAATAACTGAAGACCAGAGGAACTGTGGGATGGCATCAAGAACATCAAACTGGAAGAAAGCATGTTGTTGTTGTTGTTAAGTGCCATCGAGTCGGTTCCGACCCATAGCGACCCTGTACAGGGTTTCCGAGGGTGTAAATCTTTACGGGAGTAGAAAGCCTCATCTTTCTCCCGCGGAGCAGCTGGTAGTTTCGAACCGCTGACCTTAAGGTTCACAGCCCGATTCGTAACCACTACGCTACCAGAGCTCGCATAAGGTCATCCAAAAGACAGGCCCATGATAATGAGCATTTCATGTTTGTTTGCTGGCTGCCTGAATGCTGTCTTTGGTAAAGTATCTGTTCATGTCCTCTGCCTATTTTTTTACTTGGATTCTTTTTTTGTTTTTGTTTTTTCTTGTTGAGATACTGAGTTCTTTATAAATTTAGAGACTTTTAATTCCATTTTTCCATGAACGTTTTGATGCCCCTAGCATATTTTAGCTACCATGAGCAGCTCTGCTTCCAAGTACCACCATGCCGTCGGGCTGCTTCACTAGTACCAGCAGAGCCTGGAGCTGCCAGAGAGAAATGACTGGGAACAGAACATGCCAGGAGTTGGCGGCAAGCTGAAGAACAAGCTCCCCTTTGGCCACCTTGGTTTTTTCTTGCCTAGTTCTCTCTCTACATATAGAATTCCTGTTGTTGTTAAGTGCCATTGAGTCATTTCTGACCCATAGCGACCCTATATAGTGTTTCCAAGGAGCGACTGGTGAGCTTGAACCACCGACCTTGCACTTCAAACAGCTTTGCAGTCTAGCGCATTAACCCACAGTGCCACACCAGGACTCCATAAAATTCCTAGTCTGTATTATTGTCACTCTTTTGTTCACTGATTCCTACTGTCTTTGAGCATCAGAATTCCCAGGTACACAGTAGTTTTAGTTAACCCAGTACAGATCAAACCTAATAGTTTTATCTGTCTGGTGGGTCCTGAGTTGTTTCCAAGGTACAGTGCTTGAGGCAACTTAGACCAGAGTTCTGTGCAAAGTGCTCCTGTTTCTCGCCTTTTCCAGGCTGGAGGAGCTTTCTTTGGTTCCTGTGTCCTTGCTCTTCCTCTGCTCTTACTTAGACCTCCTTCCTGTACTGCAGTTTTCTCAGCCAACCGGGTACCAGAGAAGCTGGACGTGGTGGTGATAGGCAGTGGCTTCGGGGGCCTGGCTGCTGCTGCGATTCTGTCCAAAGCTGGCAAGCGAGTTCTGGTGCTGGAACAACACACCAAGGCAGGAGGCTGTTGTCATACCTTTCGGCATGATGGCCTTGAATTTGACACGGGTAAGGCTTGTGTGGAAAAGGGCTGGGAGCCTGGCTCTCTCTTCAGTAGCTTTGCACAGCACTCATGGGACAATATTGAGCATTTCTGTTGATTTAGGGACCCTGTCTTCTCTCTAAGGAACTGTGGTGGCATTGTGAGTTAGTTAGTGGGCAGTTAACCTCAAAGTTAGCAGTTCAAACCTACCTGCAGCTGCTCTGCAGGAGAAAGGTGAGCCTATCTGCTCTCGTAAAGACTCACAGTCTCAGAAACACCACATGGGGTTGCTGTGAGTCGAACCTACTCGATGGTTGAGGGTTTTTTGGTTTTGATCTCTCTGGGCGCTGCTTTCCTTTTCTGACACCCATATTTGCAGTGGGACCTGAGGTAAACAGGGATGTAGTGATTTCTGCTGTGATACCTCCCTACTGAGAGGGTAGGCAGCTCCTCTGCCATATCAGACAGCCTCTTTCACCTTGTTTCCTTGTCTAGTTTCCCAGGACTCAGTCCCCTTATCCCTTTGTTACCTTATATTTTTCTCCATTTCCCAACAGGAATACATTATATTGGGCGTATGCAAGAGGGTAGCGTTGGCCGTTTTATGTTGGACCAGATCACTGAGGGGCAGCTGGACTGGACTGCCTTGTCCTCTCCCTTTGACATAATGGTACTAGAAGGGCCCAGTGGTCGAAAGGAGTTCCCCATGTACAGTGGAGAGAAAGCCTATGTTCGGGGCCTCAAGGAGAAGTTTCCTCAAGAAGAAGCTGCCATTGACAAGTATATACAGCTGGTTAAGGTAACACGGACAGTTTATCCCCAATAAGGCCGACTGACTTTCTCCATTAGTGAAGTGACTGGTGGGGGAGGCAGGAAAAGGGGGTGCATGTCTGTCCTGAACTCATTCTATAACTGAGGCCATCTTTCTGTCCAGCTGGGCTGTCTTGTCTCTGGGTCCTGGCTCAGCAGCTGCCATTCTCTCTTCTGGCCTCCAGGGGGCCCCCTCCACACCCTGATCTCTCACCACTCCCCCACTCTGCTTCCCACCCCCCAATATGGTCAGATCACAGCTCTACTTCACTTCATCTGGAACCAGACTGAAATTTTTCAAAAGGAGTTTGAGCAGGAAACAAAAAAACTAAAGAGGATTCATGTATATTGGATAAGGGTTTAATATCCAGAATATATAAAGAACTCTTACAATTTAACAACAAAAAGGCAAACCTATCAGAAAATGGGCAAAGGACTTAGAATAGATATCCCAAGAAGAAATAAAAATGGCCAACAAACACATGAAAAATGCTCTCTGTCATTAGCCATTAGGGAAATGCAAGTCAAAACCACAAAGAGATATCACTTCACACCCATTAGGGTTGACTGATTTTTTTTTAAAGTCCAGAAAACAACAGGTGTTGAAGATCTGGAGAAACAGGAATCCTCTTTTAGTGCCGGTGAGATAATAAAATGGTAAGGCCTCTGTGGAAACAATTTAGCAGTTCCTCAAAAAGGTAAGTATAGAATTACCATTGTTGCTGCCGTGGAGTCGGTTCCGACTCATAGTGACCCTGTACGGGGTTTCCAAGGCTGTAAATCTTTACAGGAGTAGAAAGCCTCATCTTTCTCCCGCAGAACAGCTGGTAGTTTCGAACTGCTGACCTTAAGGTTAGCAGCCCGATTCCTAACCACGACACTCGCAGAGTACAAGAAGAAAAAATTCAAAGTTCAGAGTTTTAAAAAAATCCAAATTTGTTAAAAGCTAGCTAAAGTAAGTGTTGGTGGAACCTTGGACCGGTACAGACTATTGGAAAGTGGTTCCGAGATGAGACCCGTTCCTCACAGTTCTTTCTCTTTCCCAGGTGGTGTCCCGAGGAACCATGCATGCCATCTTGCTGAAGCTCCTCCCACTGCCTGTGGTTCAGCTCCTCTCCAAGTGTGGCCTGCTGACCCTTTTCTCTCCATTCCTTCGTGCATCCACCCAGAGCTTGTCTGAGGTCTTGCAGCAGCTGCCGGCCTCCCGTGAGCTCCAGGCAGTGCTCAGCTATATCTTCCCTACTTATGGTGAGTACCCGCTCAGGGTCTGGACGGCTCCTGGAGGAGGGGTGCTGCTCTCCCGGCTCTCCGTCTTTCTTTCTGAACCAGTCTGGCTGACTGAGATGGAACAGTTGAAACCCTTTTGGAGTTTATAGGTAAGAATGCTGCCCACCTCTGGACTGCCTGGGAGAAATCGCCCTCATCCACACCCTGGGTGATTTGTTTCTATTCAACCAGCACTGTCTGTATGGTCTTTGTAGTTTTGAAGGGAGTACATTGCTACCAGACCAAAGCCCTGTAAAGTACTCCTTCTTTGGATGGAAGCAAGGCCCTCTGAGTGTCCGGGGCCCTGGGAAACATTTGGAATCAGGCTGTGTGTTATCTAACCAAGATCTGTGCCCCCTCTAAATAAATGATGCAGTATGCCGGCTGCTCATGCCACATTACCCCTGCTTTCTGTAGGAGTGACCCCCAGCCACACCACCTTTTCCATGCATGCTCTGCTGGTTCACCACTACATGAATGGAGCTTTCTATCCCCGTGGTGGCTCCAGTGAAATCGCCTTCCACACCATCCCTGTGATTCAGCGAGCCGGCGGCGCTGTCCTTACAAGGGCCCCTGTGCAGAGCGTGTTGCTGGATTCAGCTGGAAAGGCCTGTGGTGAGAACCATGCCAGGGCTGGGGTATTACTAGCCATAGGTCTGGAGGTGAAAAGGGAGCAGGAAGGATAAAAAAGAATGCTTGTCCTCAGAGGATGTTAAGTGGTGTTGAGTTGGTTCTCACTCCTAACAACCCTGTGTGGGGTTTTCAAGGCTGTAAATCTTTATGGGAGCAGAAGGCTTCATCGTTCTCCTATGGAGTGGCTGGTGGATTTGAACTGCTGACCTTGAGGTTAACAGCCAAATGCATAACTCACTCACTACACTACCAGGGCTCCTTAATTTACTCAATAGTTAGTGCTTTTTATCTAGTAATTCAATAACTTTGAGTTCAGGGGCTCTGTTGTTATACCTTTCTGCCTCTAGATCTTCAGACTTAACCAAACCCCAAAAAACCCATCTCCATTGCCATAGTGTCGTTTGGACTCATGGCGGCTCCCTGTGCCTACAGAATAGAACTGCTCTGTAGGGTTTTTTTGGCTTAATCTTTACAGAAGGCAGACTGCTAGGCCTTTTTTCCATAGCACTGCTATGTGGTTTGAACTGCCAACCTTTAGGTTGGTTGTTAATTGCCATCAAGTCATTTAAGTCACTTAACTCACATAAGTCAGATGTACTTATTTGTGTCTTTAATGTGCCAGACAGGAAAAGGTATTGATGAAACTATAAAAAAAAGTGTCAGTTTCTGACTAAGAAGTTGCCAGTCACATAGGGAAGGTTATTTCCATATGAGTTAAGTGCTACACTAGAGGCAGATACTGCATTGGAGGTGACACAGGACATTGGGACAGGGACGACCTCACAGGCAGGGGTGCTGCAGCCAGCTCCTACAGGGAGAGAAGAAGCCAATGTTGGAGGAAGTGATGTGCCAAGGCATGAAGATATGAAAGAACTGAGTATTTCCAGGCCTCGAAGAGCATTGCATTGAACTATAAGAAACTGCTTTTCAGTGAAAGTAGCAAGAAATAAGGCTGGGCACATAGAACCAGATAAAGGAAGGCTACTATAAGGCATTGGCATTTCTCTTACAGAAGCTGAAGTGACCTTGAAGGGTCTTCAAGAGAATAGTAACTTTAAATAGGATTCTGGCAGCAGTGAAGCAGGCAGGCTTTTAGCCCTTGAGCTTTGTCAGGGTTGGGAGATGGGCTCGGCCTAAGAAAAGAAAGCAGCCCAAGAGAGGGCTGGAGGACTGGAGGTGTGGGCAGAGTGGGAGAGAGCTCAGGAAGGAGCTCAGAAGTCATTGTGGGGTGGCTGATAGTGTTTGAGGATGTTTCACTCACTTTGCAGTTTTGCCTGAGGCCTGTTGTGCCTGGCCCGGGGTCGGGGGGTACTCGCTCAGGTCTAAGAAAATGAAGTGTAGATTGGAGAAGATCTGTTGCAGGCATGGACCCTTCTGTAACTTCCTAGGGCTTTCAGAACCTCATCAGCCTCCTGTGTCTGCAGGTGTCAGTGTGAAGAAGGGCCAAGAGCTGGTGAACATCTACTGCCCCATCGTGATCTCCAATGCAGGACTGTTCAATACCTACCAGCACTTATTGCCGGAGCAGGCCCGCTGTCTGCCAGGTAAGAGTCTCGTCTGCATTGCTGTCTTCCAAGTTCCTCAGCATCCAGCATTGCTCAACTTATATGATGCCTTCTCTCTTCTTGGCTGGCTGAACTAGCTGCCTTCTGACCATCATTAAACCGAAAAGGTGAGAATACTGGTTTCTAACTGCATCTGTTTGCAGCTCAGCCTGTGTTTAGGGGTTGGAGAAAAAGTTTCTTTTTGTTTCATCATCCTCAAATATCCTTTGCTCCTTTATTTCTCACTGAATCGTTGACATATAAACCCACTCCCCTTATAATCTTAATCACGTTTCACTCTTTTTTTTTTTTTTAATTTTACTTTTTATTGTGAATTGAGTAATAGTTTACATGGGAAAACATCAGTTTCACACTCATCATTTCATTGTAATGATTACAATATTCTCTGTGCATCATCATTCAATAATATTTTTGCTTCTATTACCTGCTTGGTTTTTTTTTTTTTTGATGTACACAAAAACGCTTAGGAATATATAACCATTTAAACAACCAAAGGGCACATTCTGCAAGCCTGCCTCCTGGTTGCCAGCACACAGCCTTTATCTTTCCACGAGTCTGAAGTCCACAGCTACTCTCTCTCTCTCCATGCCATCTTTGGTGTCACTGTTTCTCTGGATAGGGTTCCACATTCCACTCGTGCTTTTCTCCCTTGATGGTCCTAGGGTTTTTAGTTCCTGGACTGTATAAGGTTAACTACTTGCCCATTTTTGTTCCAAAACTTCTACCTGTACAGTTGTGACAATCGCAATTAGCCATGATAACAATTGTTAGGTGCCTGACAGAACCGTGGAGATACAGGTGTGGACATTCTTTTTTCGCTATCTGTTCATTGGTCTCTCGCTGTCTGGGCTCCTCCAGTTCTGGTGACTAGAGATTCTACTACGCGTGTGCACAGATCTCGAAATTTAAAGTGATCGTTTCCACTTAAAACCAAACGGCCACCACTCCTGTCAGTTTGTTGTCCTGTGGTGGCTTGTAAGTTGCTGTGATTCTGAAAGCTATGCCAGCAGTATTTTAAATACCAGCGGGGTCACCCATGGTGGACAGGTTTCAGATGAGCTTCCAGACAAAGACAGACTAGGAATAAAGAGTGACGAACTACTTCTG